GTATGTTGAGGGGCGCGTTGCGCGCGTGGATCACCTCACAGGGCCACCAGCGGAAACAGGGGATTTTCGCCCAGATCACTTGAGCATAACGCGGCTGGACACCACGCCTAAATAAAATGTAAAACTACTGCTACTTTCTAATGTATAAGTAGGTGGTATATAAAATAAGGTTATATAAAATAAACTAGGAAGTGGGAGCACAGGGAAGGGGGACAAAAACACACATACCGACAGTTATCACAGGTAAATGTGGGAGATGGCGAGACCGCGTCTGCAGGATCCATACACGCTTTGTGGTAGTTAGTAGGACAAGTCTCACAGAAGACCTAAAAATCAAGAAAAAGGGAAACAGTGAAAACTGAAGGGAAATCGTGAAGGGAGGAGGCGAGTAACGTGAAACAGACAATCTGAACGCTTTCTATTGCCCAGTGATAAATCATACTCTATACCAGAAGATCCTCACAGGATAAAGCATTCCAACGTGGAAATATTTATGCCTTAAGTCATTTTTATAGAAGAGAGATAAACGTATGTAAAATGGGTCTTACCCTATCTGGACCCGGTTTCCGACAACGGAAACACCAGGAGATGCTTTGAACTTTGTGTTGCGGTAATTTGCTTAGGTTCTTGACAAAGTGGGCAGGGCATACAATGTGTGACAGGGAGACTTCCACAGAACCCGCAGGAGTGCACAGATCGCCAGTATGGAAGACGCGAGGACAGCTAAAATAGTAAAGTTAGGTAGTAGGGAGGAGAGGGGCTCCAAAGGAATAAAATTGCACTAAGAAACTGCAGGAGAAGTGTGCTACCAAACAGTAAGGCACACTGTTCCGGACCGTTCTAAGGATGCCGAAATGAATAGCCTCCAGGCCAGTAACCACAAAAAAACGGTCCGGTAAAAATCCCATCTATATGTTACTGAGGCGGGCAGCAGACGTCTACTTATTACTGGAAAAATATACTTAAGCTTTATCAATTGCAATTGCCCAGCTGAGACATTAAAGGGGCGGGGCGGGTCATTCGTCCTTGGCGATGGGATAAAAATGAAAAAAAATATTCCCATTGTGATGTAGGGCTGAGAGCGGTGGTGTGTAAGAGAAATGGATGAGACTTACCGAACACACTGCAGCATGGGTCGTCCTTCGGGTTGAATAGCGGTACTTTCAGGATCCTCCAGACAGCAGGTGGCACAGACATGGGCAGGACAACGGGTGAGCAGGACCGCGCCACCAGCTTTCTCTGTGACCAGACAACCGGGGTGTTGGTGAAGGCAATCGCGGTGGAAATGCCGCCCGCAGCCCTTTACCTGTGCAACAGAGGAAAGACATATATATAAACTAAAACAAGAAGGCACGATGGTGGTGGTGGAAGCCAGAGCTGAAGCATGTAGGAGAATTCTAGTGAAAGGGTAGCACATCGCGCAGAAATCGGTACTGTCCTCCGCCGGTTCTGTAGCCGCTTCCGGGCAAACACTGAGCGTACCCCCACCCGCGCATGATAATTCAGCCCTTTTATTAGTCAGAGAGCGCGTTCGGACCCCTGCCTTAAAATAGATTTAAGGCCTTGGTAACATGCTTATACACCCAGAATAGTGGCAGGCATGAATATCCATTGTAAAAAAATGAATTGTAACTTCCGGAGTCAACAGAACGCACAAGGCGAGGGAAAGAACGGAAGAACGTAACATTGGAATACAGAGGATAGAAGCCGGCAGCGTTCATCCGTTTCTACTTCCTCTTACCATTAACGTACAGTTTACGTATTTACTGACTCCGTCAGGCTCTTTTTCGCACAGGAAAATAGTAGTAATGAATATATAAACAGTGCGTTTTCTGGCTTCATCTAGACATCTAAAGTTTACGGGGAGTTTCATATACAAGTTTAGGAAATCAAAAAAGCCTACCTGACAGGACAGCAATGAACCTCCTGTAGTTTCTACATTTAAACGCGACTTTCCCGAGATTGTGGATGGTTTGCCGCAGACTGCGCACAAGTAATTCCTTGTGATGCACTGTGGACACTTGAATACTTCGGGGCGTTGGTTATCTGAAAAACATTTAGGTAAAAGTAAACAGTACGGTTGACGGCATTTGCGGAATCGCTTTTATTCAAGAAATCGGCCCATTGAATTACAGTCAGTAGCTATTTAAATGTGATTTATAAAGCTCTAGGCACTTTGGTAAGAAAGTCGGCAGGTTACATCGTCG